TAACGGAGACCAATCGAATTCAATAAAAAGAATAAAAAGCTAAAGCAATTTAGCATTGTTTAAATATAAATGTCCAATATTAAACTACCTCCAAAATTTCGCACATTAATTCTCCTGTCACACCACCACTTCTCTTGCAATAATCATAAAAATCTTCAAGATACGCTTTATAAAGCGTGTTACGAATAATTTCAATATTTAATTCATCAATATCATTAACGGACAACTTTTGAAAGTATGGGGCTATAAAAGATATACATTATTAGTCAATGTAACTTGATAATTAGAACGAAAGAATATTTTATTAAATATTTTATTACCAAGAGGTGTCTCCACAATCACAGTCTCGTACAGTTCCGTAACGTTAGTTGCAACGCACAGTGCTGCCATGGTATCAAACTTTCCAAGTGGGTGACATCGTTCCAGCAATTCATTAGTATCACGTTGGTGTAGGGTGCCAGTTATTAAAAGAATTACATTATCAATCATATAGGCATAACTTTTCCCGCATGAAATTAGCATTAGATAAAGCCAAATCATATTTTTAGACTACAGTCAATGAAACCTACGTTAGATAATCCAAAAATTTGGACAAAGGTTGCGACGCGTTATTATGTACGTATTTAAATTCAGAAACCAATTTCTGTGTTGCCTTTTCGTGAATTGTTGAAGCAGCTATAGGAGAGGGCTCATTAGCAAGAAAGTTGCCATAGTCTGTAGCACTAAGCTGAAGTTTTAAGTCTGTACTTGTGAATCCATGAACAGAATTCAGAGTTAAGAAAGTACCTAATATGACTTAGTATATATGCTCAAAATTCAATTTACCATCCAAGGTTTCACATTGCGTCAAGTTAAGATAGTGAGTTGTGTTAAGAATCGCACTCTTATAACCTCTCACAATGCCTTCCAAGTAGCCATCATTGACGTTGAAGTATAGGGCTTCCATAATTCAAAGTTTCGATTAGTTCGCTAAATTTTAAAACAAGAATAACATGGCGAAGCTCACTTATTTTCTCGAGTAGTACAAAATTCCCTTATGTGGTTCCACCAATCATTATGTGAATAACAAATTGCTTTTTTTTAACGATAAAGAAATTATATTTGAATTTCATATCCAAAGGATGTTAAGACTAGAGACTCAAACACAACGTTAAAATAAATTTTAGCATAAACCTAACAAATTGCGATCTTGTGCATAATGTTACCGATTTTATTCTGAATTTTATAAGTATTTGATATTTTTAACCTAAAGCAATATTATTTTTACATGTAGTGTTGTTACGTAGTAATAAATGGCAAACTCTTTTTTAGTTTTTGGTTTAATTTATTATACATATTTTATTGATTGAAGTAAAATGATGTTAATAGTATATTGTGAG